TCAAAGGCTAAATGATATATTTATCTTAAAAACTTTTTCTCCATAAGCACTGGGTACCATGAATTTTTGTTTGAAACTTTTTTGCCTTGAAAATTTCAAAAAGAGAGTAATTTTGCCCTGTCATCAATATTAATTATTACTTTGACTTTAATTGCCACATGTAACCATGCAACATTTTGTTAAAAAAACCACCTATATAGAAAAACACCTCCATTAACATCAATGACAACATCAAGAAAAACTCCATAAGCAGCATGCAATTTCAAATCATCCAAACTCATACATATACCTAGAAACAACAAACTATTTATTGAGTCAATTTACATGAACTCGGCTATGTGGAAGCTCTATTCTTTTATATTCAATAATTCTATCTCACTCAACTATGACGACTTCATGAACTCTGACATTGACTCGAACGCTTTTAAGCACTTCATAGTGTCAAACTACAAAAGTTATTTCAAAGTCGTGATTTTTGCCGCTGTTAGAAAAATACTGCATTTTATTAATCTAAAATTGGTTGGATAGAATACTTATATGCAAGGAGCTCGACCCAGAGGCATTCTTTAGACTTCGAGCAACATTTGGAGCTTTATGTGCTATGATTTGGGTTTTGGAAGAGTTTGATCCTAGAAAAAAATTTTGAAGACATTTGGAGCTCATTTTCTTTGGTTTTTCCATTCCTCATCCCTTTCCTCTCTTGTATTCTAACATGGGTCCAAATATTTTGTGTATTTATATCTTTTGGATGATTATGAGTAGTTAAATACTTTGTTCTAGAGCTATTTGGAACTCTTGTGTGGATTAACATTATGTTCCTCCTCTCTTGTTGTAATTAATAATATTTATGTGTTTATTTTACTATTTTCTTAATGCTTCTAAGTGATTAGTCACTATTTAGACATTGAGTTCACTGGATTAATGTTTGAAAAGACTAAGTTGAGTATAAAACTTGAGTAAAGTAGTACAAGAACTTGATATTTGCATGTTGAATTGATAATTTTGCTAGTAAAATAAAAATATACTTGCTAACCTTGCATAACCATATTAGGATTGGTATTTAAAATTAAGTTTTATTAATTGTAATAAGAGATTGAGCGATTAATTTAACTAAATACTTGTTCATGACTTGAGAGAACTTGTCTATGTATCTTTTAGAACTTTAGATTAACACTTATTTTTATTAAAAGCATTTAGGAGATGAGGTAATTTTGGTATTATGAGATTTAAGGGAGTAAATAATCCTAGGTCCTAATTTATGCTTGAAATCTATGAATCAATTTATTTACTTTATTTACCAATTTTAATTTAGTTTGCTACATTAACGTTCACCTAATTTTGTTTGGTTCAACTTAATTGAACTCATTTAGTTTTTTATTTGATCATTGTTTTTAAGCAAATTCTCTAAGAAATGATAATTTACTTTCATTATATTACTTGCTACAACCTGTGCATTTACGGTGAGTAACAAACTTCTTGTGAGGCTCGCAAATCTCAGACACACATTTTTTCTAGCCTCGCATTTGGATCCAAATCCATGATAGTGTGAGAGCTTCCTAGTGGGAAAGGAAGAGGAGAAGGAAAAAGAGGATAATGAAGAGGAAGTGAGAGCAAAATTGCTGCACTTTTAAAAGTTTTGAGGCAACTAAGTTTCAAATAAAAGTTCAGTATACCCAACGCTTCCAGAGAAAAAGTTATAAGGCAACTATGTTATTTACCTCTTGATCAAATTTCAATTAATAGACAATGCTTGTGATTTTTAATGATAGGATAAAAATGTTTTTTTTTTTAAAAAATTTAGAATGTCTGGAATTTTGGGAGAAAAAGTTCCTGAATATTTTGCATTTTAATTTTTTATTTAAGCTGATTGATGATGGCATGATATGTTGCATCCCGAGCTTGTAGGCCTCGAGATGTAACTTTTTTGGTTGGTGTTTGCTCCGTTGATAGCCATTTAATTGCACAATTGGCTTTCCCCTGATCCACTTCATATATCACCAGTGCCTTCACGCGTGTAGGGTGGAAAGTAAGCGGGAAGGAAATGCCATACGAAGATACTGCGAAAAAATATAATTTTTTTTTTTTTAAAAAGGTAGCCGCGCGTGCGGGAGGCAGGCCGAAAGGAAGAAAGCGAGGTAGGACTCGGAAGCACGGTCTAACGATGTTGATTATTGTGTGTTCTTTCCACGACCCCACAAAAAAAAAAAAAAAAACTTCATCATTAATTTACATGCATCCATCCATTCTAATTTCTCATTTCTAGTAGGATTTTTGCTACTGCTATTTTTGTGTGCTTTTAAAATTTAAAGCGTTACTACCATATTACTTTATTTATTAATCCATGGTAAGATTTTTTGAAAGAAAATTTCAATTAAGAACCACCATAAAAATTTAATTATAAAAATTTTAAAATTTTAATTTAATCTAAGAAAGAAAAGTTAAAAGAAATAAAAAAAAATTAAAATATATTTAACTTGCCATGCAAAATTATTGATTGTTAATTTTCTTACTGTACTTATTAATTTATCAATATCACTTATAAATTATATCTTTTGTCAGACAATCAATAAGATTAATTATTAGTTTACTAAATTTACTTATTAGTTTACTAACATCAATTATAAATTATAAGACTTGTCAATAATTTATAATTGATGTTAGTAAACTATAAAACTGTCAAAATTTACAACTAATATTAAAAAATTAATAAATAAAGTTATTAATTTAATAATTGATGTTTTTATTTATGATTGAACATTCAGTGTAAAATTTTATATAATTATTGACATATCTTCTAATGTAATTTGTAACTCATATTTAAAAATTAACAAGTAAAAGTAAAAAAATTAATAACTAGTATTTATGCCTAACAAGTGAAAGATATTTTAATTTTTTTACCATCAAAATTTTTTTGACTTTTTTTCCTAAGCTAAAGTAAAATTTTAAAATTTTATAAACCCATATAAAAAATTAAGTCTTCAATGTAATCCCTACCTGAAATTCTCCTTTTTCTTTATTTATTCGACTGAGTGCGTCAGAGACCCGAATAAAATGTATTAATTTGCCGTATTTAGCAAGGACGGTTCCAAACCCAGCAGGACTGTCCAGTGAATGCGCTGCATTCTTCAACTAATACATTCAGTTTCATGAACATTGTATTGCCCAGTTACATATTTAATTTATTTTAACGTCATTTTGTCCACGAGGCTCGATTATAACCACTAGTGACTGTTTCTGACTTCATCTTCGGCGTCTGGTTGGCTCTGTTGTCTTTTCTTTTCGATTAGCATCACCGTCTATTTCGTTGCTAATCTTCTTTTAAGATCTGCACAGTAAACCGAATTCTGATTAAAAAAGAAAACAAAGTTCAAAAGAAAGAGTTTGTATGCAATGCAATTAATCACGCAGCTTGGATAGGAATTAGGAACCACCGTTCCTGTTTGCGGAAGTGCTTTTGTAAAAGTTGTCTTTTTGGGGGTGAGTCACCGGTGTCCTATGATCACGCTTCTTGGAAGATCATAGAAAATTGTAATTAATTTTTTAGCCATCGACTGCTTAAAATAGAGGGACACGATTGGGTGATTCCGTACTTCAATTGTCTTCATTTTTTTTTTAATTAAAAAAAAGAAAAAAATGACAATTAGAGATCCAAAAAACATTATTGACGGACTCTAATTTATTGAAATCTTAATATTAAATTATAATTTTTACTTATAATAAATTATTTTTTATTAATTGGTTTAAGATTTATAATGAATTTTATTTTTTGATGATTTCCCAAACAATAAAAAAAAATACAAGTTATTGGTTTATAATTTTTAATTGACGTTGTAAATAATTTTGAATTATATTATTTAGTGGATTTTTCAATTGATATCATATATTGACAACAACCAAAATTCATAAGTGACTAGTTTATAATTCACAATTAATTTTCATAAATTCTCAACTAGCGGTACAAATAATTTTATATGTATTTACTTATTTTTCAAGTGCTTTATTTTTACATTGACAACAAAAATTGAGATTTTTAATAGATTTTATAAATTATCAACTAATATTATAAATAATTTTGAATGTATTTAATAAATTTTTCAACTAACTTTTCACATTTTTTAAAATTTTAAATAAGAATTATGATTTATTTTTAGGATTTCAATAATTTAAGGTTTGGGATTATCATTAATCTACTCATGGGTCTCTAATTGTCATTTTCCCTTCAAGAAAATGAAGCACGGGTGTCGTGAGAAATTTTCTTTTTGTTTTGGGCAACTTATGCCAAAATTGCAAACCAGAGGGGAACTCTGGTTTCAGACTAAGGCTATGTTTGATGCGAGCTTCTGGGCTTGCAAATGATGATTGTCAAACCCAAAAGCTGGATGGAAAATAAAAACTCCTGTTTGGAAAAAAGTTCCGGCAAATGGCTTCTGGTCTCAAATCTATGGTTAAGTTTGGAGCTACTTTTTCTTGTTCTTATCTCAAAGTCATGGTTTTTTCTACCACTTTTCCACAGAACTGACTTTTTTTAAAATATATATAAAAATATAAATCACTTTATAAAATGGTAGAAACTTCAAATTTTCAAATGAGATGAGACCAGGAAGTAATTAACCAATTTATAACGTCATGGCGTTAATTGGTTCGACTGATTATTTTTAATTAAATGGTACCCACGTGGTTGATTACCTCGGTGATAATCACAATCTCTTGGAGTTGAAGTCTAAGTTGATGACTTCTAATACTAATTTTTCTTAATTAATCAATTCTAATAATCTACTATCTCAAATTGATCAAGTCAGAATAATCTTCTTAATTTTGTCATAGTTACAGTAAATACTATATATCTCTTCATCAAAACTCAAAAGATTAAGTATTAGTATAAAATATTTAATGCATTCTAAAATATAAGATAACTTTTGTAACATACATACATACACATATATATATTGTGAAAATTGAGGTATTTACATACCCCAGTATTTTATTTTTTTAAAGGTGCATGGTAGCGTCGTACTCTTATAAAATAATAGAGCATGATTGGAATTTTTTAGTTTGGCAACTGAAAACGATGGACCATGCAGGTCAACATGTAATCATCTAGGTAAAATATATACAGGTTTACCTTATAACTAATTAGCCCTTTTACTATAACCTTCTCTAAAGGTGACTATAACATAAAATACTTAAAAAAGAGGAAAATAGAATAAAAAAGAAGAGGAAGAACTAGGGAATGTTTTCCGACGCAGAGGCCAGTTGACTCCGTAGAGAGTCGCTGCCGGGTTCAACTTTCAGTGCTTTCCTCTTCCGACCAAATTCTGTTGACAACCTAAAAGACACCACACAACCATGACTTCGTTTCTGAATATTACGTTAGCCAATTTTGATTTCGATGATATTAAGATAAAAGAAAAATTCCAAAGAAAACTGAGAGACGTACCCTAACTGCAAGCAAGTGTCAGAGTGGTCTTCTCTTTCATGGGAGGCACAGTGGAAAATGGGGTTGGAACAGTTGTTGATGGAGAACCTGCTATCAAAGGCATTCACATATACAAAGTGTGTTGTGTTTGATTTATTCTGCATCTCCTCAATCTGTTTCCCAGACATCAACGTCGTTATTAAATATAATTGGCCCTAGTTTAGTGAGTTGATAACAAAACGCACATATATATCTACACTTTATCAAGTCCGATTTGATTCTCACTTGTTTGCGCAGAGCTTCGTTCTCCAGCGTGGCTTGTTGCTCCTGCATATCATTTTTTTTTTGTGAAATTAAAAAAAGAAACAAAAGGTGAACAAAACTGTACCACAGCAAATGTGAATTATAAGCTGTCATGCCAAAATTATCTGTAAATTCTTGATTTTCTCTTAAAACTATCAAAACGAGATTAAAAAATTGACAGTGCTGGCACGTACCTGTAATCTGGACCTCCGAAGCTGATCTAGAAGTACTTGTTCCTGCAATAGTTTTTGTATACAATTAATGGTTTAGGATTTTTATAGCACATTCATGCACCAGCCTTATTGTTACAATATTTTTTAAAAAAAAAATCATCATACTAAGCTGTAAAAGTTTGAGAAAATTAATTTTCCACAAAGAAACAGGTGCCGACTTGCTTTTTTCTCCCATCAATATTGAAAAGAACGCGAGAATTATATCATATCACACTTGATCTCATTAACTGAATCAGTCATCATACTGATATTGAAGGCTATTGAATCTTTGTCATCTTTACCTTCTTTTCTTTAACAGATAGTATCCCTTCACTCATTGATTTTCCAGGTTCTGCAGCTCTTTGAATTTCAACCCATCAAGCTCCTTCCCCATCATTCTTCTGCAAAATTTGAAAAATAACATCATTAAAATAACCTGAACCAATCTTTCACAAGAAAGAAGAACCAAAATAGCTCCCTTTTTCTTAACCACAAAAACAAAACAATCTACTGGAACTTGTTTCAGTCATTTAACACTGTTCCTTACCTAGAGATAAAAGGGGGGGATGTAAACAAGCTCAGAAGTCAGAATAACTTACAAGTATGCTAAACGAAGCTTTCTAATTTCATCCTTGAGAAGGTTTGTATCAGGCTCAGTCTCCTGCTTTGATTGAAGAGGTGAGAACTAGACAAAACTAAATAGCACTTCGGTAATTAGCCAGAAAAGAAAAGTAGAGAGGGAAACGAAATATATTACAGAGAATGATCACTCAAGATTAAAGCAACTAGAGGAAAGTGTGGGTGTGAGAGTCACATACCTCAGTTGGGGGCACATCACAGGGTTGCTCTGTATAATCCAATTCTACGCCTTTGGTATATCTTGAAAGGGTGTGCTCCATGCTTCACAAATGAAATGAACTTTTTGATGATCATAAGAATAAAGAGCCACCTTTTTCCCATAGAAAATGCCAAGCAACAAAATGATGGGTCAGAGTGCTCCAAACAAACACACACACACACACACACAAGAGTTTAGTTCATGGCTAGCTTGGAGAGCAACGCAACAGAATTCTGTATATTGAAGTGAAATTCTTCAACACAAAAGATGCACACTTCACTTTCAATAATAGGTGTTGCATACCAAATGATTCCATGCCAGCTCTAGTATGCTATGTCCTCTATAAGTTTTTCTGTTAATCTCACTGATGACATTGAGTCCCCTAAAAGGAGACTGTCAAGGGCAAATATGATACTTGGCTCTTGATAGACAACAAATCAAGAGCCATCTTCTTTTCACCAATCGAACAGTACTTAAAAGCAATTGGGTTCAAATTTTTTTTAATGGAAACACAAATTATTGAAACTAGTTCAGTACATGCCTAGAATTTTCCAGTTTCTTCCAGAAAAAGTTTCTCAATAACAGAATTCCGATTCCAATATAGTATAAATAAGAACGCCATCTCTGCATGTTTTCAAGTTCAAGGAAACAGAAGAATGAACATCAAAAGCAAATCAACAAAATCAAAAGTTAAAACCCCAAAAAATCCATCAAAGTATAAACATCAAACTTCTAAAAAACCTCGTGCTCTGGAAAAGTCAAAACCCCAAAAAGCAATGTACGTGTTTATGCACCTTGTGTTAGAAAACTCATAAAGCTTGCCGGTGCTAGAGAAAATGATGACAGCAACCTCTGCATCACACAGAACAGACAACTCCTTGGCCTTCTTAAGCAACCCATTGCGTCGCTTGGAGAAGGTGACCTGCCTGTTATTTAAATTCTCTATCTTCTTAATTTCAATTTTCCCTCTCCCCATTTCCCCTGAAACTTTCTTCAGACCACTACCGCCGCCGCCAATGAGATGGGAACGAGAGAGAGACAACCAAGCCACCCTTGAACCCCCTTTTCTATATATAATATAAAGACGCAGAGGCGCAGCAGAGAAAAGTGTGATTGTTGTGTAAGGTGGGAATGGGGTTGGGATTTCTTCTTGTGCAGAAAGAAAGGCCAAGGAAGGAAAAAAGTGAGCGAAATTAGGAATATAGAGAGAAAGGTGACAGGTGAAATACTATATGTGGGCACTAAATCCTATTATGGAATTCTATTTTGCTTGAGGGACTGGCCATTTACCTCTTTGGGAATGTTCTGTTTCCCCAGTCCAGTGTTTGGCTGCAACTAGCAAATTCCTTTTCTTTTCTAATCAAAGCACATTCCTATATTCTCATCTCCTTTTCTTATTATCAATGTTTCCATAATGGTGGAGCATATTTTAACACAGTTCTAGGCATTGCCTTCTTTGAATTCACCACCGAGTTGATGTACGTTTGACTACGTACAGCTTCACGGAGGACATTTGGAGGTTGTGAACCATTGAAGAGACGTACATGATTAGAATATGTTGTTGAAATAGCTAGTCTTTGAGAAATCATACAGGGAAATGGTTAGATATACTTTATGTGTGGACATGAGATTGTATATTTTGGCAAGCACAGTATTAGCATGTTGATCACGCAAAAATATCTTTGAAGTAAGTCCATGTGCAGAGGACTTGGAATTTGAGAGCCCAACTTTATTCATCACAAAACCCGCATGTTTCTTTTTTCTTTTTCCCTTTCTTTTTTTTTTTTTCCAGGAGAATAATTCATAAAGCTATTCGTGTTTTTCTTCTTTATTGATAAATGAAGATTATCTTGCACGACAATGGAGACTAATTTTTCTCAAGCACAGAACGTAAAATGCATACTCCTTTAAACTAAACTTACTTAATATATACAAAGAGTGGTAATTGAATGTTTAATCCACTTGATTGGACAAGAGCCGTTATCTTTTACATTAACATTTGTTATCCTTTATCGTGTTTATTACTCCTTCTATTAAAAAAATTAAATCTCATTCTCAATAAATTAATTAATTATCTTTAAACCAACATCATTGTCTCATACCTTATTTAATATGACGCTTCACTTGAAAATAAATATAGAATGATTTATTTATTGAGAATAATTTTAGAAAAAAACATATTAATTACACTTTGAAAATAATAACATTTTTAAACGTACAATACAGCCTCTCAAAGAATATTTTACATTTTGTAGCAAAGATAGTATTTTGATCATAGTCATAATTACTTACAGACATACAGAAGCTAATGGATTTTATTCACAATTTCGTTCATTCTTAAGACTTGATTTTATTACAATTTAAATTGGATTTAGGGCCCTTGTATCTTTTCGGATGAATCTATAGATTTTGATATTATTTTAAAATTAAAGTTCCATTAAAAATATTTTAAATTGTGTTTCAGTTGACTCCACATAATGAGGTAAGGTTTGCCATCATTAAATGAATGATTGTGTAAAATAAAAAAAAACCTGCTTAAGACGTACTTATCCCTAATAAAAGATGAATTGATTTCACCTCACACAACACAAGCTCATCATCAGATGTGAGGGTTCACTGATCTCATTTTTCGCCTATCCAAATCTCGTTAGTGAAGGAAGTCAAGACGAAAATAGAGGGGACTGGAAAAGTAACATACTTCATTGATTTGAATAGTGTAATATATATGTATATATCAACCTAATAATACCTAAGGAATATAAATATAAATATTCTTTAAATCTAAACGAAATAAATCATAATCGATAATAAACTTAAAGAAAATAAATGTTCATAAATAATATATCCTAACAATTAAAAAAATCCGGGCCTCTTTTTTATGTTATTTTTGCTAAAAGAAGTCCCTGGCATTAACGGTTCCTTGTGTCGTCAATTAAACAAAACCCGCTGGATCAGTCAATGAGATGGCAAGACGAACGGTTTCAACGTTCTGATTCCGACGATGTGATCCATAAAGTTAGTTTGCCATTTTTTATTTTGGACCTGCCCCACACAACAAGTAGGCTATGATTGGGCCGATAGCTAGGCCCTGAAATCCCTGCTTTGCTTAAACCCTTAATGTTATCTTATTCCATCTCTGAGCGCATAGCAATTAGTAGTTAAACTTCAATTAAACCACATGAAACTTATAAAATAATTCGGTGCATGGATTTCTATTAATTTTATATTTTATAATTTAAAATCAAATATTTCATCAAGAAAGATATAAAAAGCAAGCTATTTTCTCCACTCTATTCTTCTTTGGAAAGAAATTATGGAGGTGCAATTTTTTTTTATCACTTGCAACTAATATGAGTTAAATTACCGAATATTAGTATTTTTACCATTTATAGGTGCAAGCAAACCAATCATCTTAACACACCCACCCGCACACACATGGTAAACTGGAAAGTAATTTGTGGAATCACATGACCAGGGAAATGGTCCCCATTGATCAAATCTGCCCAACACAGAACTTGCCATACTCCAACAAAATAACACATCCCTCCCTTGAAGTCCCATTACATCTACTGCCATATCTCACGTGGCCTGTGTGGCCCCACATCTTTAAAATTAATATTGTTAATTTTTTTAAGAAAAAAATACACACCTTTATATATATATATATATATATATATCTCTCTCTCTCTCTCTCTCTCTCTCCCCACGACCTTGCCCTGAGTCACTGCTTTAATCTCACTTGCCTTCAACATGAGTCAGATTTTTAAGCGTAACTTTAACACTATTTTTGGGTGCCCTTTGATTCCGGTAAAACGAAAACACAGTCAAACAATTTGTCTCTTCCAGGAAACCAAATGCTATTGGCTAGTCAAATGACCTGCCTTTGAAATTCTGGCACTGGGTCGTACTCGACAGGCACATATACCCCAACTGATGACGGATGCATTGAATTTGATGAGTTCAGAGTTATACAAGCTTTTTCTCACCGCTGAAAGAAAAAGAAAATATAGAGATGCAGTTCCAAATTCCAAATCCTATTGGTATAGTATTTATTATGAACTGTTTAACTTTCCACAAAAGATACCTGATTTTTCACAGTGTACACATTTACAAAAGACTAGAGAGAATTCCGTGGCTCGCAATGCACGAGAATGCAAGACTTGGAAATAACGTGAACGGTAAATACTATACTTTACTGTTGAATCTGCAGATTTAATCTTGAGACAGTGTAATCATAAGCGCGCTGCAGCGTTTTCTGGAATCTCGTGAGATCTAACGTGACGTTCTGGTGGTCTAGATAGATCTTCTTCGTGAATTCCCACCCTCTCTTGGTAATGCCTCTGGGGTCTCTGAGAACAGGATCATTCTCATGGTACCTGTGATACAGAGAGCTCTCTTTGGGATGAATTTCATACCCTACGTACTTCAATCCTAATTTTCTCGCAGGTTCCCCATAATAAGTTTCTGATGCCCATGTGGTGCCCAGAGGGACCACTTGAATAAACACAGAGCCAGGTCTCAAGAACAGAAAATGAGTCATTGCGGCTCCATGAACACCGACCATTACATCACTCTCATTCATTGCCTTGTAAATCTTTGCCAGTTCGGTTGTTTTATCAGGATTCACTACTTTCACCTCAAACCCAGTTTCCTCCGCCATTTTCACCATCAAATCCTCATTCGTTATTGCTCTTGACCCACTTCTTGAGATGACAACCAATCTGGGTTTGTTCCACTGATTTTCTTGCACTCTTTCCCTCATTGGGGCTTCAGCTTCCCTTTCCTCGTCCTGAATCAAGCTTTTGATTCGAGGCCAGTAGGCGCGATCCAGAAGGTTTCGAAAATCGACAACGCTCTTGTTACCCTCCATGAATGCAGGGTTTACAGTCAACTCGTCGTGGATTCTCAGACCGACAATGGCTTCTGGGAAGCAGTGGGTCCGGTTGTCTTTGTTGAAATCGATGGCCGGAAAATCTGAGAGTTGAGAGAGAATATCTTTGTACTTCAACATCCACCAATTATGGTATTCAAGAATCACAAACACGACCTTTTTCTGCAAATGCTGGGAAGTAATGTACAGAGGTATGATTCCATCGTTGAATTCATGATAGACATTGCCTGTATAACCCCCGTTGGAGAAGAACACTGCCGGAACATCATGCTGAACGTCACAACGATGATCTGTTCCCGAATCTGCTGCCTTTGATATTAGGTGTAATTCATTGATGAGATTCATGATGCTTGTTTCCCATTTTCGAGTATAGGGCCTGATCTTTTCGTGCTGGAATTCACGAACGTCACCTTTGTCGCCTTCAAAAGTCTTCCTTCCCGAGTGGAAAAGGAACACCGAAGAGGAAGAAGAGCGTGTTCTTATATCTCCTTTCATTATACAGATATCAGAACGATAACCGCTTCTATCACAACATATAGTTCCTCCTGCACGATCAAGTTATTGGGGAAAATAGGTGGGTGACTCGGTTTACGATCAGGGACAAGACATACAAATCATATTATTTTCTTAGCTTAATTTGGCTTATACAATATGGCGGACCATCTAATATGGATATCAATATAAATTCCCAGTTTAACAATTAACATCAAAGAGTCAACCATTAACTAGCGAGAAGGAAGAGAATGAGAAGAATTACCATTTGAAACTGAAGAGCACGAAGAAGCATTTGCATCAAACCCCATGATGGAGCTATCAAGTTGGGTTACAGGGGAATCTGCAAATAAGAGAACAGGATCAACAGAGATGAAGAATGGACACGAAAAAAGTTGCAAAGTCGACAGGGAGAGACTTACAAAGGAGAGAGAAAGTGAAAGAAGAGCCAAAGAAAAGAGTAGCTAGCACGAAGCAGAAGCAGAGAAGAGCGAGAAACAAGAAAGGCAAGGGGTTGGGCCTGGTTCTCTTGCAGTAGGCAGAGGTAGAGAAATCCAAATTGAGGCTCTGCGACTGAAAGAAGACATGTTGAGGGAAATCCTCATCCTTCTTCAGTGAAAGGTACCGATGATATTGGACCATTGGGTGTTGAAGTGGCGACGCAACGAGTGAGAGAGGGAGAGGGGGGGAGGGAGGGAGAGGGAGCGCGAAATAGGAAAAGGGACACCAAAGAAGGCGTTAAGCAAGGCGTCAGTGGCTCTCGAAAGTTAATGGGGGTAGTGGTTCAAGGGGCAAGGGGGCTCTCCTTTTGAGAGAAATGAGGAGAATATAAATGAAATAGTAAAGAGGAAGTAAAGATGTGGGGAGCTTTTGAAGGAAGGAAGGAAGGAATAGGGGAAGGAGGCAGTCTGAGGGAGGGTAGAGGCAAAAGACGAGGGCTCTGTTTTCAACCTTGTGAGAAGGGGATACAGTCCAAAGCGTCTCTCCCATCGCATGTAAAAGACGGTACCTCCAAAATATATATTTATATATATATATATATATATATATCAGAGAGAGAGGGGGGGACGGTTCTCCCTAATGCAGCGTTTGGATTTCTTTCCGGGGACGGGTTGGCCGCCGCCTCTCCTTTCAACAATCGCTGGATTATGGATCTTTACGCGCCCTTGGAGCGTGCATTACTGTTTCCTGCGCTTCAATGTTGTTCCTCGTGAGACGTGACATATAATCCCGACTTACCAGGACAGAGATAAAACAAATAAAACATTCAGAAGTCGTTTGGTTCCTCAAAATAATTATAATAATATAGATAAAAAATAAAAACACAAAATGAACTAGTTTACCTTTTCTCCTAGCAAACTACGCGTACGCTGAAATTCAATATTCATTATCATCTAATATAAATATAAGTATCATCATACAAAATTCATAAGTCGTGATTTTCATTTTCAAAAATTAAATTTTTTTTATAAATATGATTAACCTATTTCTTTTCATATTTTATTTTTTTATTTTTATTTCTTTAATCTATTCTATTCCGATTATTTTCAGTGATCAAACGGTGCCTTTTTTCCCCCCACGCAGTAGCCCTGCATTGTTTTGTTTATTTCTGTTTGGGAAACAAAAAATCAGAGAGAGAAGCCAATCTCTGTTGTTACTTGTTCCAAAACAACAATAGCACGTCAAACTTTTTTATATAGATTTGAATTTTTGAAGTTAATTGAGGTATTATTTAAAATTTTGCATAATTTATTTTTATTTCAATCTTTAATCTTGTTTATTGAGTAGTTTGATTTAACGGTGCAGACACTGACGAGGACAATGAGGACGTGGCATTCATAAAAAGAAAAAAAAATTTAACAAATTGATTGCCCTTAATGGGCTCGAGCTGAAAACCTTGTCCCTTTTTAAAAAGTGAAAACTTTGCCTTTAATGGTTTCAATATTCGAAACTCGTCCGCAAAGAAAGGAGGTGGCATTTATAATGAAGAACGACATTAAACTAGATAGTATTCCTTTCATTTTTATTTGTAAGGGAGAAACAAAATTTATATTATACTGTCTAAAAAAATTAATTAATTATATTAATTGTGTCTGAAAATAAAAAATTAAACTACAATATTTTTTATTACTTTATTAATCAAGCATTCATTAATTTTTTTTAATGAATGTAAGTGATAAAATTATGAGAGGCACTACTCTGGTTTTATTTACAGGGCAGAGGGAGAAGAAAAAATTTAATTCTATTTATAGAACACTTGCCAATTTTCAATGCTCTTCTTTACGTTTTTGCTCTTATTAAATGCTTTGAATAAAAATATTAATAATAAAATTTAATAATATTTATCAAGTGTAAAAGTGTAAATTAATTAAGTTTTAAAATAAAGTTAATAAGGTTTAAGGTTTTCTTTAATTCTAAAAATATATTAGAAATGACTTATGAATAGGATTAAATAAAATAATTTAAAAAATTTACAATAAATACCTATTGAAAATTGTGATTTTGCTAATATAAAAAAATAAATTAAAAATGACAGTTTTTCTTATAAGTAAAAATAAAGGGAGTAACATTTTCTATCTCAATAGTCTATCTAGTAGTTTAATTGTTTTGTTGTTGCCGTGAAAGTTCTTTGATTCTTCCATTTATTGCTAGCTTGAATTTCAATTATACTGATAGTTTTAGTATTCAATTTAAGTTTTAAATTTTGGAGAAAATTAATTTTTTAATATTTAAAGTTTTATTTGGTCATAGCCCAATCCCTCAACTCATTATAGTTCAATTTTATAATTTTAAATTAGTTGTAATTTAATTTAAAATTTTAACTTGTTGCAACTCAATTTTTATAATTTAGTAATTTTAAATATTGATCCCTAAATATTTAAAAAAATTAGCAATTTAAAATACTAGTAATAAACTTTAAAATAATTTTAATATTTATAATTTTTTAAAATATAGGTATCAATATTTTAAATGTTTAAAACTATAGCAGCTGAATTGTATCAACTCAAAATTCAAAAATTAAGTTATAATTAAATTTAAATTACAAGGGCCAAGTTAAGATGAGTTGAAATTTAAAGAATAAGTTACAATAAAATTAAAATTATAAAAATTAAATGATTAATTTTTTGTTAAACCTTTTATCATTGTGATGTGTACTTTGCATTTTTCTTCTCTCCCACCTTCAATCTTGTGCCCTACTCATTTTCCACTACTATTAATCTGAATTTATTAATTAAATTAGTCAAATCTTGCGCCCGGAAATATAAACAACCCAACCATTAGAAATCACTCATTCGCTTGTGCATAACTGTATAAAGGAAGAGGCCCAAAAACTAAAAAAATGTAATAGGACATCCCAATAGCTACGACGAAGCGCGGGAGGCGTGGAAAGATGATGGAGGCTGGCTGCCCCTTCGTCTGCAAGCAGCCAAGTTCCTAATTAAATAATTATTTATTTGATTTTTTTATCCGTAATTATTTATTTGATTTGAATAAATATATCAATGGCAAAATTATATTTAATCCAGAATCGGATATGGAGTCACGTCCCAGCTCTGGCCGCATAAGATAAGATTCTTAGTTTGTTAGCCATAAATAAAAATAAAATAAAATATTTGCCCGTTCGGTTTCTTTTTATAAAAGAATTTTGGGAGTCCATTTTTGTTTCTATTTATAAGAAACGGACTGTCTTTGACTAAAACATTTGTTAAAAAAATTTCTTGCAATCCCTCATGTAATCCCCCGTTAAATATAATTGTCCACCAAAACAAACACTGCTAACTATATTTTTGTATTCTTTTTTAAATAAGTTTCCTTTTTATTTATAACGAGAGAGGCCACAATAAGCGTATACATATAGTATATGATTATTTATTTATGGAATTTGGAGTTGTTCCGATCATAATTATCCAAATTATATAAATTAGGAATGCTTTCTCCTCACCGTGTGATCAGATGACAGAATATTGCCTGCCACATAGTTAATTCTGATTAAATAGAGTTTTAAAATATATTAAATAAGAATAGAGTATGGAAAATTATATATTCCCTCCATTAAAAATGTAAGATATTTTTAACTGAAATTCACTCCCTAATAAATTAATTACCTACCTTTAAACTAAAACTATCTTTTTATATTTACCCATATTAAACACCGTATAATAAATATAAAGTCATTATCAATATGAGCATTTAAAAAAAATAATAATTATATTTTAAAAAATTAAAAATCTTATATTTTTTAATATTTAATTTTTTAAAAAATATTTTATATTTTTCATCAGAGAAAATATATAGATATATAAAAGAATAGAGTATCGAAAATACCGATGAAAATCATGAACAGGAAAATGAAGGTGCTTTTTGTGGGGAAAATGGATATATCTATATATATATATATATATATATATATAGAGTCCAGAGAGAAGCAAATGACGCGCTAATTGAGGCATGGATACCTGCTTCAGCGACATCACTTTCATCTTCTCTCTTTGCATGCGATCCACGTGGTATTATTATTTTTATTTAGTAATTGATATTAACCACTGTATTTAGAAAAAAACTCATAATTAGAATGATTTTATAAGTAATCAGTAATTATTTAGCCCGAAATAGAAGGCTTGCTGTTATGAGATGATTTTATGTGGTCCAGGCTCTTCCATCATCCTTGATTTTATAATATAAGAATTTTGTTGATAGATAATTTATAAACACATTTATAAATTCTCTTTGAATTTTGAAGTGTGTATTGAGTTCCTAGAACCCAATCCATATACCCCCTCTGGATTAAAACATATGATACTGATAATTAATTTACAATGCTAAAAAAATATTAGGTGAAATTTTAATTTATTAAAAAAATTATATGTTTTTAATTATACCCTCATTAAATGTTTTTATATAAGTGTTTTAATAATGATAATTAAAATTTCAATGCATTATTTTTCAAAATAATAATAAACAAATTAGTAGTATAGTTAAAAAATAATTATAAAAATTATTAAATATTTTATATTTTAAATCAAACAAAGTTTTTAAAATGTGTTTTATATTATGATCAAAAGGAGCAATCATTCTTATTATCAAGAAGGAAGAGAAGAGAAAATCATGTGTGCATGGGAATATACCCAGATAATTCTTCAAAAATATTTTATCATCGACAGTGTCTTGGATGATTTTAGGGAGGGAGAATTCCATTAAATGATTGAGGATGCGACATTATTGCAAATGAAGCCCGAGATAAATTTGAAATTTGACCACAAAAATTTGGACATAAACTGAAATTAAAATATCAGATAAAATGACTGCAATAATCTTCTTAACTTTACACGTTAATTGTTAAAATCTTCATTTTACTTGTTGATTCGTTAATAATATCTAATAACTTGTTAACTCAATTATCATACTTGTTTAACATGTAATGTTAATTGTCAATTCGTCATAATTCTTATTAAAATATTTACTTTACATGTTAATTTTTTTGCATTACTTGATAACTTCTTAACCTAATTATCATACTTGTTAAATGGATAGTATTACTTGTTAATTTTTTATAATTGTTAAAATATTTATCTTACATGCTAAGAAGGTTATTTTAATCACCCCATCTTGCATTTTAATTTCAGTTTAGGTTTAAATTGTTGCAGTGAAATTTCAAATTTATTTGAGCCTCATTTTTAATAATATCCTATCCATGGTCCTAATTCTCCCATAATTTTAACTTCCAGCTTTCACTATTAAGACGTCTAATATTATAGATCAAACAATTTTTTTTTTTTTGTCGAAAGATCAAACATATTGAAAACGAAACAAATGATGAAAAGACAATAAACAGTAATAAAGTAATTGAAATTAAATCGCCCCCCGAAAAAGGCTAGTGCATTAATTAAGGAGCCTGACTTTCGGGGGAATTTGAAGGAGAGACGGCGAAGCGAGAAGCAGACGAGGCGCTAATCAAGGTATTGTCCTCACGTTTACGGAGAC